AAATAATTCTATATTGATTTATTAATAAAAATATGTGTTAAAAAAAATTCTGGTTTTTTTTGCACACTACTGTATATATTTATTTAAAATAGTTAAATACAATAAAATACAAATTTTTATTAATATATATTGCATATTTAGAATACATTCAAAAAACTTATATAAGTTAGTATTTTGGAATAAAATCCAAGCAATTTCTTTTAGTGCAGCAGAAAATCACTTGTGATATTTTACACATGTTATTAATTTAAGTATAAAGAATACTTTAAATATATTGGAAGAAAATTTAAAACAGATAAGTTTCACAACAGGTATATTTCTTTTTATATTTACTAATTTATTTTTATATAGTTATGAAAACTTGTAGTAAAATACTGTATAATCATTATCTCAATGAATAGAAAAATTAAATAATACTTGTAAAATACAGAAAATAGAAACTTTAAAACCAGTTTTATATATTGAAACACAATGGAATTTAACATATAACATGGTTGCACATGCTATATAACTAAAAACAATAAGTTTAAATATTGTTTGTTATTTAATATTTGTTTAATATAATTTTAAATAATTTATATTTTTAGGCAATCGAATATTTAACGATTTCAAATCAATAATTAAAAAATTATATATTTACAGATAACAATTTGAATATATTTAAACAAATAATAGAATTTTTTGAGCTCTTTCAAAAAACAACTACAATGATATCGGCATTAACATATCTGATATTATCTATAACAGTTCTACTATATAATATTTTAATTGACTATTTGGAAGATATTGATAAAAAAAATATTAATTCAAATATAAAAGAAGCAGCTAAAACATATCATAAAAAATTTTAGAATATTATAATAAGACAAATAAAATTTATATACTGGCAATAATTTTGGATCCAAGATTTAAAATCCAGTATTTTATAAATAACAATTAGGGAGAAGAATTGATGGAAAAAATAAAAAAACAATAAATATTTATTTTTATTTTATTTATAATTTAATTTTTATAATTTAATTTTTAATATTAAATCTTTTTTTTTTATAGTGTTGATGATGTTTTTCAAAAATATAGTGAATTAAATTCAAGACTTATAACAACAATTAATATAGAAGAAATATATAATACAGTTAGAGCAAAATTATTTAAATAATGGCATATAGAAAAACAAGATAAATTGTAGCTATATTTTTTATTGCTCTGAGTAACAGAAGAAATGGATATTTTAGAATGGTGGAAGATAAATAAACAGCAATTTCTATAATTAGTATATATTGTACATGATTATTTAGTAATATTTGTAACAAGTGTACTTGTAGAACAGGTTTTTTTGACAAGTAAAAATTAAATTACAGAAAAAAGAAATTGATTGTTAAATAAAACAATAAGAGCATATATATGTTTAAAGTCATAGTGGCAAGAGTCATTAGCAAATAGCAATTAAAATTTTAATTATATTTAATACAGTTATATTTATATATTTAATAAATATTATGATAAAAAGTTTTTGATCTATAAATACATATACGTATTATAGTATTGCAGATTTTGAATCATTAAAACTATAAAAATAGAGCTATTAATGTTAGAATTATCTATATTAAAGTTATAATTGTTAGATATATACATTCTTATAATAAATTATCAGGATGAATTATCATGATTAGTTGATCGTGATAAAAAAAATTTTTTTAAATCATTTTTCCTTCTTAATTTTTGTTGTGTATCCAAAAAATTTATTTTCATATTACTTTCTTCATTTTATAGTTTTCTGTTATATTAAAAATGCGAGGTTCCAAGCTAAGCCCCTAACAATGTAAACAAATAATAGGCATATATCTTTCAGGTACTAAAAGCAAAATTATTTCCTCTCAACTTGATATACCTTCCTCAACCACTTATAACACAATAAATCACTATAAAAAAAAACAGTTCTCTTATTCTAAAACGCGTCCTGGATGACCAAAATCTCTTTTTGACTATCATTAGTAAATAGTGCGACGTTATATTCAAAAAGATTGTTTCAGGCTCCTAGGCAACATTTCGAATGACATAAACACCTATCTCACTTCAACATTTCATGCAAATACTATTTGAAACTACTTATACAAAATGAGATTAGAAAGTTGCACAATATGAAAAAAGCCTCTTTTATCAAATAAATAATATTTAGCTTGACTTAATTGGTGCAGAACCAAATGTGACTGGGATGAGAAATGAAAATGAATTGTGTAGTCTGACAAATCACAATTCACTTTATTCGAGTCTGACAAATGAATACGAGTTTGGTGCAGGGTTGGGGAAGAATACAATATAGACTACATTAAGCCTACTATAAAATTTGGCAGGTGATCAACTATGTTTTGAGGTTGTTTCTTGTGGAATGGTATTGACCCCTTAATACTTGTGGATCAAATAATGAATTTAGAGGCTTACGTAAACGTTTTAGCCACCAACTTTATATACTGTCATATAATGTTTCTACCTCAGGAAAAAGATAAATACAGAAAACTAGTAGCAGGGAGGCACTTTTAGATGAACAGGGCCAGTGTGGTATACTAAAGTTCTTAGAGGCGTACAAATTAGTACAGTTCTGAGATATATGAGGTCAGGCGAAAGAGGCAATGGTGATTTGTTTTTCAAAGGTCAAGTTATTTATTCGATAAAATATAAGTTCA